AACCTAAACTTCCCTGGACAGAATAAGCTTTTGTTACAATTAACTCGTCTAATAGCTTAGTAGATTACCAACAAACCATATAGGAAACTAACATTCATAATCAATACTGGAACTCTAATTTGTTGATGTAGTAAATTATGAAGATGGCATATTTGTCTTTGAATAGTCACAACAGAACTAAACTTTAAGTGATTCTGTTCAGCTAAACAACAGGATATCTTGAAAATCAACTATACGTAGAGCTTTCCTTCATCCACCCTCTGAGAAAAACTGCTCATGGAAAATTCTCCTAGGAGGAAGAAAATGCATGAATTATCATTCTCATTAGAATATGAGAGAAACATGAAAATCCTGTACTTTGAATCTACGAAGTTGAAAAAGACATTAGAGTTGCAAAAATCAAACCAACCCAAATGAACAAAAAGTTGTCTTTATCTAAATTTCCTTTCCCTGAATTTGCCAAATTTCCTGCCTCTACATTCAGTTTCACAGCAAGCAATAGATTTACAGCACTTGCAGCCATTAGGGAGCAACTGTCAGTGGTTTTTATAATAAATCCATCAAATATCAACTCATCTGTGTGCTGCCCTCTGAAGTCCTGAAAGTCTTTTCATTGCCTTTGATGGATAGTAGATTAGATTCCAGATTAACAAGAAAATAAAAAATAAGGCTAATACTGTAAATAAAATTAAATTTCTATTTTTTTCCATTTATGTTCTTCACTGGTAGAGAAGATTTGGAGAGATTCCTGATAAGATCATAACAGTTGGCATCACTAAAATGTATTTGTATTTTTCTGTATGTTCTGGCAGTAGAAGAGACCTTGGCCTAATGTAGGTATATACTTACATGGTATGCTTTCCTAAGATTTCATGACAGATATGCAAGCTTCTGTATATCACTATAGAAGTGTAACTTATTCTCAAAGTGTTACTTTTAGTGATGTTGACAAAGATATGCTTAATAAGCAAGAGATAGCAAATCATTTATTGTGCCTTCAGTTGTGTTTGCATGCCTGTTAATATTAACTGCAAACAATGAAAATGAGACTCCATGAAATTGTTCGCGTAGAGAAATTATCTTTTCTGTAAGAGTTCTCTGCATAATATTTAGTTCTTGTTGATCTTGGAATGGAGGTAAGGTATTCTTATAAGTCAAAGATAAATTATTCAGTTCATGATTGATTCAGAGCTCAAGATACATGTAAAAAGCCAAATTTCCAGTCAGTTTACTGTGCATTTTGTCTATAAAATTCACTTGTGCATATAAAACCTGTATTTGCACACAAATCCATTTATTTTCACAGATCCAGAAGTTTCCTATTTTACATGTACATAGAAAATATTTGCATGTGCATAGATCAAAGATCCTGAAAAACTGTCAAAAGTTATGTCTGATATTTTTGGTGTTTGCTTGTAAAATACAAGAGTGAAACAGATGACATCAGGAACTCTTATCCTGAAGTGCATCTAGGCACTTGTGCTGTGCTCCCCATTGTACCATGACTGTCTAAAGCAAGAAAGATGCTATAGAAGAAAGAGCTATACTTGGCTACAGTAGTTTCCCATTTCTTGTTTTACAAAATCCACACAGAGAGAACTCAAGGATATTGGTATTTTTATAGCTGTACTGAAACAACATACATTTTTAGTTCCTTCATTGCAATATCCCTTCTTTATGGGAAAAACATTCTATTGCAGACAGCAACAAACACATTTTCTGCTTGTTCCTAAGTGAGGAAAAAAACATGGAACAATGCAGTTCAAAACATGAAACCCTGGACCCCTCAGGGGATGGCACACCACAAAAAGAGAAACTGCTCATCAGTTAGGAAGTAGCTTAATGTGCTCCAAAGCACGGAACTATCGAGGCAGTGATGGAATGGATTGAATAGTAGTGTGCTAGAGGAAAGCTGGATACATTTTTTTTTTCATAATGAGAGAGCTTCCTAAGTTACATTTCTGTTCAGGTTCTTTAATGACATAATTAATTTGCTAAAACAAAGGAAGGATTTTTACTCGCCAACTCCATCAACACTCTTGTAAATGCGATGTCCATGTCATGGTCCAGAGTGTTCAGATTAATTGCATGGCTAAATGCCTTTCTACAAGTTTGCCAACATTCTAGAGAAGAGGATAATTGATTCTTGTGTGCTAACAGTTATGTTTTGAATCTTTCCTAGGTGTCACATAATCCTTCCTGTGAAAGGACACTCTACACAGCTGTGGCTCAGAAGAAAATATGAGAGTGCTTTCAGTCAGTAAGGATCAGCCAAAGAGCTAACTGTAGTAGCTGTGTAATGATATGGTCATTATTGGAAACGAAAGATGAAAACGGTGAAAGGATGAAGTTCTAGTGCTATGGTGAATAAAGGAGAAAGATGGATTACAGTAATAAAATTTAATATTTCAGAAAATTATCTACAGTTTTCAGGAACCAAATAACATCTTTGAATCTGGTGACGCCCCCATGAAGTGTGGAAATTCTCTAGTGAATGTTATACCATATTAAAAGGTAGAAATAAATAGTCATATTGCATTGTTTATTCAGGATGGTTGCCTTTATCAGTTGCTTTTTGAGATTAGCTTTTATTGGCAGGTTAGTTTCAGTATTACATGTACTACATGTGCCAGTATTTTGAAAAGGAAGTTTCTAATTCAGTATCACAAGAAGAAAACTAAGAAAATTAATACACTAACCATTATTCTTCATAGCCAATGATTTTTCATATTGATAGGCTTCCTCAAAACATGTAAGTATAAAAGTATTATGAGTACACTTGCTGAAAAATTCATACGCCTGTTGGCCAAAAACACTGAAAAAAGTTGTCTGTGCCAGAAAGTATTTTTTTAATATAAAAAAACTGCCTGTGACAACTGAAATGCAGAATGACTAGAAGGACAACATTGCCTTTGCTAGAGACAATAAGCAACTGAATTATAGCTGGCTCAGAGTGACTAGCTATATTGAATGTTACTGGCTGGCACCTCTTCTCTCCATCCTTGGGGCTGCTTCATCCATGCATATACAAAAGAATTGGGGTTAAATAGTTAGCTTTATTATAAAAGAGTGCTGGTGGCTTTTTTCCAACTACTCAGTTGGTTTAATAAGATATCACATCTACCCAAAGAACCTTGCCTACTGGTGGCTTGGGCACATGAGTGTCTCGACAGCTCTTTTAGTTGCCTTTTTTGTTAGTGTACTAGAGACATTTAGTTATTCTGAACTATATTATACATCTTAAAAAATATTACTTCTTCTATTTAGAAGGAATAACCACTCTATATCTTGTTCTTTAACAAAACACATAATTTACTATAAAACACTACAGTTTCAACAATCTTCTTCTTACCTGAAGCGCAAGAGGCTTCCACCTCACATTCTTCAGAAGTGCAGGAGCAGAAACCAGGGTGTTCTGAGGCCGTTTTTTCAAGGTTAAGATCACTCCATTTGGGTCTTCCCGCAATGCATTTACTAGGTTCTTTAACTGCCAGCCAACCTGAGGAGAAATCCCATAATGGAACTTTGAAAGATTTCCACTTAACTTAAATGTGAAGGAAGTGTTGTATTAAAGGGAAGGGTATACTACAGTCTGTTCTTTTCAAATAAAAGTAACATTTATAAATTGTACTTGACTTTTCATGAAAAGAAAAAAAGATGCTGGTGCTATTGAGTCATTCTGATTTTTTTTAAATGTTCCTTAATGTATGAAGGAACAGGAGAATTTCGAACATAATGTGCAATGCCATATTTTTTATGGCTTCTAAAATATTGAAGGATATTTTTAGTAAACCTTTTTGATGAATGTTCATTTTATTTCTCTATAAGATGAAGAATAATAGATGTAAAATAATTACAAACTGCCCTTAGTATTATAATTGAAGTGGTTATGTTTTGGGTAGAGAGGCTATCAATGAGCCACAATAATGCAGTTACTTCAATGTCTTCATTAAAGATAAACTACCACTTCTTTAAAATATTGATAGGTCTACTAAGAGAAACTGAATTTCCTAAAGAAGTACAGTATTATGAAATACTGTAACTAAGGGGACAAAGAACAGAATCACAATTAGGGGGGATTTCTCCTGCATATCACCAAAAATTGCTTAGCAATATTATTATTAAACATTCTTGGATAGTTAGCATCTGAATTTCCCCTCCTTCCATTTGTACTTTTAATTGAAAAAAATTGGCTATGAATTTGCAGTTTTTATTTATGAATACACATTTTATCCTGAAAAGCCAATCCTCAAGGAGTTTAGAAAACTATACATAATATAAACAATGGTTTCAATGTCCAGAAGTTGTGCATAAAAGAAAATATTTAGCATTTTTATGGTCTATTTATATGTCTTACTTGAGTATATGCAGTAAAATGGCACAATTTATGATTCTGTATCATTTTTAATGCTTCTGAGCAAGATATCTTCATGATGTATCATAAAAGAATACAAGTAGGAAACTGGATGAAGCTGAATATGGAACTGGTTTCAGATGCAAATGTACAGTACAGGTTATGTGTTTATAATTTATGTTAGAAGTTACTACAAACTATTTCAATATTTATTTGAAAAAGAAAGGAAATAGAAATTTTTCATGTCCAAGAGATGTTTACTTTAGAGAGACTAAATTCTGAGACAACACCATTTAAGACAGTCAGGACTAACCTATTTGGCAGATGCCCTAAAAAATGAGCCTTGCAACCTCTCCAAATGCCACTCTGACCCCCTTTCCCTACCAATCTTATTCTGTTTTCTCTTCCCTTCCCTGTGCTCCCTGCCTGCTCTGCTGCTCTGCTTCCTGCTCTAATTGCTGCAGTGCTGTCTGCCTCCTCCACAACTTGCCGCATGCCACACACAGAGGTGGCTTGTCCACTTGTGGCAAGCATGGTGCAGCTTGGTCACCCCTGATTTCAGACCATGGAGTTTTGAAGGAACAAGAACATAAATAGCTTTGAAGAAAAATTGTTTTGCCATACTGTCATGTGTTAGTAAAGTATTTTTGAAGTAAGAGGAGAACTTTGAGACTATCACTCTTTCCTTAGCTGGTTTACAGTTCAAGGGACTGACTGACTTTGAAGGATGATAATTGGTACCGTAGAACCATTTAATCTGCACTCAGAATCACTTATCATACATATAAAAATCAGAGAGGTCCTTACATTTTGGTCCTCAACATTTTGCAAGACCAGAAAACACCTCTTAGTGCATATGATTAAATCTTTTTGTATACCTGTTTTAATGCTAATAAACTAGAGAGTTTGTCATTCCTCTATTCACTCCTTTCCTTTCTACATGCTCTTTTAGCTGCAGAAGACTGCTTGTTACTAGGTACCTCTTCATTCCTAACATAGTAGCCCCTGACACTTTACATTTATTGTGCAATTAACTGGTTAACTGTACCATAAATTTACACATGCTCTAGATGCAAAGTAAAAATGACCAACTAACCAGAAAAATGTTGCTTGAAAAATAGCACATTTTTGTAGCTGGTTTCCACAAAACTTTTATTTGAATGTGTGGCGTGTCACATACAGTGATAATTAGAGACCTATTTAAATCGTGCTTTCGCAATTGCTGCAAAAAATGGTGCTTGACGTGATTTCCCACAGAATCGCCCGAAAAAAATGAAAGCGTACTAAAAATAAAATGCTGGCTTCCCAGTGGGAGCCAGTGTTCCTTATAGCTACTGCTGCCTGGCTTCACAGTGTGCTGCAGGGCAGGGGGGGAGGGGGGCCCTGGCTGGTGGAGCAGTTTGAAGGGGAGCAGGCAAGATAGCAGCCACTCCCTCTTCATTCCTCCCCTGCCAGGACCTCTCCAGCAATCAGCAGTGAGGAGCAATGCCTCTGGGGTGCCAAGGGGTGGGCCCACCACAAAATGCCCATGAATGCATCTCTCCATACTGGGAGCAATCTTTCATCTTGCCCCTTTTTAGGTACCAGTAGGTCCCTAGTGATAAGGTTTGGTCAGGTCTTCCAGCATCCCAGGGTGCACTGCTCTCTCTTCCCTTCCCCTGCCCCCACCTTCAGATGAAGGAGCTGTCTGTGACTCATGCTGAATTCTGCTGCCCCAAGGTGCCTCAGCTTGAAATGCCATGGCTCACCACCCCTCCTTCAAAGCTGCTTGTTTAAGCAAGGTGTAAACAGACACTCAACATGAAGTGTTTTATGAACACACAATGATAATCTGGGGGAGGGGGAAGAAATTTGTTTGGAAAGTTGCTGGAAGGGACAAGATGTGGCAAGATGAAAAACACATACAGAAAAGCACTTGGTAAGGTGCTTCAGCAGAGTTTGATGTTCCTGCCCTCCCGCCTCCCCAGCCCTTTTCATGGGTCTCCCCTGCTCTGTACTAGAGTTCAGCTCCTTCATCCAGCTCTGAGCTCATTTCTCATTAGTAGAATAGCTGAAGGTGAGGGAGGGGAAGTTGACAGCCCTTGCAAGCAGCTCTTCAGGTCCCTTGTTGGTGAGTACAGGCAGAACAAGCTCCCAGGGCATTTTACTCTGTGAATGTGAAGCAGGTCACATGGCATGATAGTTTCTATCAAGAAACATTACCAATTGCTTGAAGGAAATAATGTCTGTCAGGAGCCACATATGAATACTAAGGCATTAAAAACTGTTCAGCCTGAATACCAGCTTTCTCACTTCTCTACCAGAACTAGTTAACTTTTTAACAAATGTTAAGTATTTTTTAATTGTACACACATGTACATAAAAAAATAACAATTATGTATGGCAACTGTGAATCACAGTTAAGAATTCTTGATAATTATAAAAAATGAGAATGGAAATATAAATTCACAAATATTCACATGTTCTCTGAAACAAAACCAACCTCTGTTCTGAGTCATAGCATGGAAATCAATGGATCTGCAAGAGTTCAAACCAGAAAAAGAATTTGGACAAAACAGATCTCTGATTCTCTTGCCACACTTCTGTACAATTTATACTCTAATGTGTCCAGAGAAAATAAGAATTTACTATAGAACAATAACATTTCACAGTGAATTAATATGCTGTTGTTTAGCACAAGTTCTTCAATTGGGATTCACTGGAGAAATTCATACTGTAGCTTGCCAAATAAATGCCTTGCTTTATGTAGCCTTCAGGACTTTGCTGATTGATAACACTGCTGCTTCTTCTTGTGGCCTGTCACCATGTTCAAATTTGGGTCCAGAAACAGGCATATGCTCTTGCTGAATCTGTAGCCTTAGCAAGGTCCTCATTGGTACCCAGTTCTCAGACACATGGGCAAGCCAGTCAGTGTTCTGTAGCATCACCCCCAAGTAGATAGGATTTGGGCAGTGAGTGAAGTTATTCCATTCCAGGTTAAGCTAAGTTGCTTACTAGCACTGCAGTCCCAAAGGTGGAAGAAAGTAACTTGTTTTTTTTTTTTTTTTATTGATGCATAGGTGATTTTTGATGCAACAGTCTGACAGTCCATTGGGCACTGATGTCAGCATGGCCTTGACCTGGGTCAAGGCAAAGTTCTTGGCATGGGCAGGGGTACACAAATTGTCTGCTTAAATAAAATGTCTCAAGCTAGGATGAACTGTGGTTTATCATTAGTGTAGATGTTAAATAGTATAGGTACAAATCTGCTCCCTTGGAGGTAGGCCATTCCTTTGTTTTCACCATTGGTTCTGCTTCTTGTGTAATTTGCCATAGAAACATTGATTTGCTACATTATTTGTAGAAGTTTGTAATCATTCATCATATCATATATCTTTGCAAGGAGCCTCCAATGATTTACAATGTCGTAAGCTGCTGAGAGGTCTATGAGTATAGACCTTTCCCATTTCAAAAACATCTTTAATGTGCTGTATGTTGTTTAATACTTTACTGGTACTTGATTTCCATGGGCAGAAGCCATCTTGTTTGGGGATCAGGTGTTCTTCAATAAGTCTTGACAAACAGTTTAAGATAAGGCATTCATAGTTTGAAAAGGTGACTTAGTAAGGCTAAGTATGAAGTTCTTTGGATCTAAGGAATCTTTCCCATTTTTAGTAGTGCTAAAATATCTTCGGTGTTTGGTTACATGCATACTATACAACTGGAGTAGCCAGGCACTTGTCATTGCTACAAAGTGTTTAATTTGTTCTGTACAAATATCATCAAGGCCAGTGGCTTTGCTATCTTTAAAAGTGTTTATTTCAGTTATTACAGCCATTGCAAAATGTATCCCAAAG